CTGACAATAGCATGATTCCTGGGCAATAACATGGTCGCAGTGACTGATCAGACCCCAGGCAACCACATGCCCTTGAGTTGCAACAGGAGCCACAGACATTGACTCAGACCCAGGCTGCTATAGGGTCATAGACCCAGACATAGTCCTCAGCAGAGGCTCAGGCCTGGACAACACCAGGGCCCCAGGTGGCAGCACAGACCACTCAGACCAGTGTGGTTCCAGTGGTGGCATGGCCCTCAGACTCCCACAAGGCCACACGTTGGGACCCAGACCCCAGGCTTCCATGAGGCTATTGGTGGCAGCATAAGCCACAGATATTAACACAGACCCTTGCTGTGGTAGGACCATGGATCTAGACATGGCCTTTGGCAGCAGCCTGGGCCCAGATGTCATCATGGCCCTGAGTGGCAAGCAAGCCTCCCACATCAGCCCACTACTCACTGCCTTCTGGTCTGTTCTGCCTCTTTGCACATGGACCTGTCCTTCTCTTTATCCCATGTCTCTACCACACATTTATGCATCAGAAGGGCCCACCTGTCCATTGCTGCAAGCCTTCTGGCTAGCCCATGGGTGTCTTTCTGCCAGTCTGGGCCTTGAGGGCCCTAGCTGGCTTGTGGGTGACTAACACCTACCTGAGGAGAATTGCAGGGCTTTGGACTTATTTCCTAATCATGTGTGTAAATGAATTAAGCAGGGAAGTATAAGCTTAATCCCAGAATAAACAACTGAAATAGCTCTTAAAGGGAATCAGGTCTAGAAAGACTAGACAGGAGCACCCATTTGCATGAAGCTGTCCAGGACATTCCTAATGGCTGGACTCATGTATGTGTATTATTTGTATAAGAATAAAACTATTTAAGGTATAAAACTTAAAAAATTTTTACATGAAAGACTGCATGGGTTATTGGTTTCTTTCTTCCTACCTTCCTTCCTTTCTTCTCCTTTCCCATTTTTACATGGGCTTCTGGAATCAAACTCATAGTTGCTAGGCTTGAGTGACAACTTCCTTTATCCACTGAGCCATCACTATTGTTTCAGTGCTATTTCTGAAAGATTTAAAATCACCTAGATGTAATCTTCCTTCCAACTACAAACAAAAAAAATCAAGGAACCTCACTTTTGCACATTTAAAATGTTTTTTTTCATTTACTTCCTTTTCTGGTGATGTGGATTGAATATCCTAACCATAGCAACTAATTGTAATAATAAACATAAGTTATGCTTTTTTTAAGAAAAGGAAATTATGTGGAAAATTCCATTCTGACCAGTAATTTTGACCAGTATGTCTTTGCAAAGAGAACAGGTTGAGAAATGGGTATGGGTGGAATTTTTGATGATATTGCAGAGGTACTGCAACCAAACCACCTAATGAGTAAGCATGTAGATCACTCACTGGGCACTTCTGAAGTTCACATAGTCACATTCTTTCCAGTTTGGTTGCTTCACCCTCACCACCTAGCCTCAAAATGGCTGGGCTTTCCTCTACTGGCAGGCAAAGATCTTGTTGCCTGAAATAAGCTGCTTGGTCGAATAGATGAAGCATGAGGAATTTTGTTATAATTACTAGACATATATAAATGATAAGCCCCTCGTTTTTTTGCTTTTTTGGCAGGGGGGGGAGCACTGACAATCTGTTCCATCTTATTGAACATACACAACTGAATACAAAGTGGCACCTGTGTCTCTGACATGTGCCCCTGGCTGGTCACTGTGTTCACTGAGTCTGTTCTTCAAGACTCCTTGAAAAGAGGCAGGATGACCTAGATGCTCTCTCTGTTGGATCTGGATTTCACAAAATGCTCCCTTGGCTGAACACTGGTCGGGTGCAGACACGAATCCAGGAACACTCTGAGAAGTGTGAAGTGCTCTTGCTGCAGGGCAGTGTCTCTCTCAGAGGAAGGCTGTTCTGTATGCACACACTGTATCTATTCTGAAAGTTTCTAGAATACATCACTTTGTCTTTGTTTTCCCTTTGTCCGTCTTTTGATGTTGTCCTTCTAATTGATGTGATGTTGCCAGGTAACCTCAGGAGATATGGTATAAGCAGACATCCAAAGAGAGCATAGTGTGTTGCTAACTGTATTCCACATGAAACAGGGCAGCCCAGCATTCTGTTTAGAGAACATTACTAGAGCATACCTTCACAGACGTGGAGCCTGGAGGCTGCAGTGTGAGGCACCTTCACAATTGCTCAAGAGTTGTGTTCTGAGTAGTGTACTTTTATTTTTGTACATAAACAATTCCATTTTCTTTGCAAGGCTAAGTTATGACTGTCATTTTATTTATAGTCTCTCTCCCTCCCTCCTGTATTTGGGATCAAAATCAGGGACTCCGGCATCCTAGGTAATGACTCTATCACAGGACAATACCTCAATATTGAGGACTGATCATCGAACTTTATTATTATTGTTGTTGTTATTGTTATTAGGTACCAGAAGAGATGAACTCCTGAGAGGCCTGAACAAGTGGAATGGAGTCTTTATTCACTGCCAGTGGGGCTGTCCCAGGCAGATTAGCAGGAAGAAGGCCCAAGCTCCAGATTATTTGAGTTATTAAGGACTTGAGTTTTTTTTATTTTTTTATTTTAATTTTAAATAGCTTGTTTTACATGTCAATCCCAGTTCCCTCTCCCTCCCCTCCTCCCACACTCCCCCATCCCCCCCAGCCTCCCACCCTATTGCCAATTCCTTCCACATAGGGGATATCTAGAGTCTGTCATTTCACTCAAGGTAGGGTCCAGGCACTCCCCTAAGAGTCCAGGCTGAGAGAGCATCCCTCTTTGTGCTATGGGCACACGATGACTGTTTGTATACCAGGGATAGACACTGATCCACTGCTCAGGGCCACATAGGTTGCCCAGGCCTTCTCACTGACACTCACATTCGTGGGGGGGGGCACCAGAGTGACCTCTAGTGATCTAAAGGGATGACACCAATTGGCAAGCTAAGCAATAGTGGAGAGACCACCTCGAATGCCCATTCCTGATAATGAACTTGATGTCTATAACCATCCGGGAGCCTTCATCTAGTGACTGATGGAAGCAGAGGCAAGCACCCACAATTAAGCACTGAACTGAACCCAAGGAACCCAGTGACAGAGAGAGAGGAGTGATGAGCAAATTGGCAAATAATGGGCTGGCAAAACCAGCAGAGACAGCTGATCTGAACAGGGGAGAGCTCTTGGACCCCAGACCAACAGCAGGGAGGCCAGCATGAGACTGATCTGGAACCCCCCTCAATGTGAGGACTTGAGTTTTAAGAGCAAAACATGCTTTTTTGACATTTATGGAAAGCATTGTTTTTTACAGAAGGGAAGAGATAACAGCTAAGTGGTCAGACAGTTAACCTTTAGCTCAAGGCCATATTGTTTAGGAATTTAGGACTGTTCCAGAGACCAGTTTTATATAAGATAGCTTTAGCACTTAGAGTATTCTTAGGAATACTTTCATGAGATAGCATAGCTATAGTTCAGTAGCCTCTTACAGCTAACATTCTCCATGATGAAATGACAGGTGTACATTTCTAAATAATACATACACATCAATGCTTTCCATAGTTTGATATTTACTACAGCAAATTACCATTGCAACCTACTCTATCTCTGTAAAAATAGAATAAGACTAGGAATTTCTTGTCACTATGTGGAATACCTAATCAATGCCATTTGAACAGAGGTTTTATTTTGAATCGTGGTTTCAAAGAATTTTTGTCCATCATGGTCAGGTGGTAGGAATGGTTCAGTCAGTCCCTGCTGGTGGAAGTATAAGGTGGCTTCTTATATCACAGCAGGCAGGAAGCAGAGATTAGTACCAGAAGCAGACTAATAACATGGTGCCACTCAGGGACCTATTTCTGCCATCCAGAATCCTTATCACAAAAGATTTCATCACCTTCCAAAACATTACCACCAATTAATGACCAAGCTATCAAACCCAGGAGCCTATGGGGAACACTTGACCTTCAACCTATAACACTGTCCATCATAGATTAAGGCTCCTTCTTACGGCATGTTGCTGGAGAAAAGGGGGTTTCAGTGAGGTTCTTTTCCATGCACATATGTGTGCCATGTCTGTGTATACTATACTGCTAATGGAATGGCATGTGCATGTTAGGAACCTAGCATTCCTTTCCTTCTCACTTTCCCCATGGTTGTTCAAATTTCCAAGAAAGGAGGTTTATGGCTGTATGATAAAAGCTTGTTATCCTTTATGTGTCCCTTGTAAGTTCTAGAATCCTGGGCCAAGCTTCATATCATTTTTATGAGAATAAAATTAAAATTTGTGTATGAGAATTTAAATATTTATTTCTTATCAGATTTTTCTTTGCTTGTTTGTATGACTTTCCCATAAAGGCAGTATTTTCAAAACATGTTAAGTGGTTAGCAATTAAGAGAGGTTGTGGTTCCTGTACTGACTCACCTTCAATGTGTCCAAGTCTTTGACCATACTGCAACTTACTTGGAAGAAGATTTCTGGGAACATCTCTTGTGCTTTAATTATGGTCAAGTACTGCAGTATAGCTGTGAGGTTGACCACTCACCACCCATGAGACAAACTGAGCACACCCAGGAATATTGTCCATCACGAATTTGCTCTGCAAGCTGAATGTGCCCAGATGTATTCCTCCCACCATTTTCCCTCTTGAATTGTGACTTTCGACTGACCATGCTCAGTAGCATCCATTTACTGAGCATGCTTGGATGTGCTTGTCCCTGAAGTGATTTCCCATAGGAATATGTACATGCTTTCCAGATAAATTCCCTACACTCCCCTGTCTTACATTATTTCTCACGCTTTTCTCTCCTGCTTATAGTAATCTTTCTCCACTCTTTTATCTCTGGTCTGGGCCATGCTTATTTTGGCTTCTTATTCATGGAATGCCAGCCAATTTTGTGGGTTAAGAGTCCTGGTTTTATTTTTTGTTATTGCTTAGTTGGTTTTCTATTTGTTTTGGTGGGGGGTTTTTTGGTGTTTTTTTTTTTTTTTGGAAACACAATATACATTTGTCACACAGAGTGTTTCAGCTTTTATTTGTAGTCGATTAGCAAAATCCTGCAATTCTTGAGAAAGCATAAAACACACATTTTACAATTACATTAAACTAAATAAAACCAAATCCACACTTTTAAGTATTAGAAGTGGTAAAGCCAAACAGCATTGTTTATACAAAGTCTATAAGAATTAACATAGAGCTATAAATTTTATTCCTGTGTGGCTTGTTTGCTTATTTATTCTATGTATTATCTAAGAAATAAAAGGCAAGTATAAGACACGCTGTATGAACTTCCAAATATCACAAAAATGGTGGTAGTCTAGGGGTGATACAGTGATAACCAGGGACTTAGAGAACCAGAGTGACACTGATACTGATTTCTCTTTGTACAAACCAGTCTGTACCTGTCTGTGAGAGACAAAATAATATCCATACCAGTGTTTTTTTTCAGCAGCATCCAGAGACTGCAGGACAGTCACAGGCCCATTTCAGGTGGGGGTGATGTGATGGACAGAAAACTACCAGGACCTCCTCTTATCTGTGTTGTTGCTGCATTTATGAAGACTGTATTTCCAGTTATGGTGACAGTGCTGTCCATCTGTTGTCATATTTCCACTATATCCTTTACCCAGCACCCTGGACAATCTAACAGTCACTGAACTGTAAAACCCTAGTTTTGAAAGATTACAGAGCACTCATACAATAATTAAGTTCTAAAGACACATCTACAGAATGCTCCGTAGGGATAAAAAGGTGCAATCACATTGCAGACACCTCTGAAGGCTCAGCCAAAGCTGATTCTGAGGGTTTGAGGGGCATGATTCAAATGCACACCTGACAGAAAGCTGTGTTTTGAACAGTTTACTGTTATTTGTACCCAAGACACACAGCCTCTGTATTAGCTTTCCCAAGTAATACCTGAAAATGATCTCAATTTTCCCAGCACACCAAGAACTAAGGAACTAATTCTCATTCATTAAAGTCAGAGAGGAGTTTGGCCTCCCTCTTGTAAGAGAGAGCATCTCCCTTCTACATATTTTTGAAGGGTATTTTGAATGTAAATAACCGAGAAGTGGCTTGAGTGCCGAACCCGGTAAACAAAACCTGCTGGCAACACTCTTGTGTTGTTCCCAGAGGAAACAAACATTAAAATCATTCCTTCCTGTGACTCATCCTAAACATATCATGTAAGACAGGTGTCCTGGGTGAGTCTGGTTATCCAGACCTTGTGTCTGAAGTGTGGACCTGCAGAGGCTGGCCATGGTTATCCCAGACCTCTTGTCTGAGGCGTGACCTGCAGAGGGTTGGTTAGACTCCTCCTGCAAGCTTGTCTTCCATAGCTAGAGATAAAACATATAAAGGCAGGTACCAGATGATCTCCATGGGGAATCAGAAACAGATGTCCCCCCGGGGTTCAAGAGACAACTCCTTAGAATTGAACAATGCTTAGGAGTTCCCTGTGGTTAGAATATAAGCAAAGATCTAGCCAAGAAATAGCTGGGGTACAAGTCGGGTCCCATTAGGGGCTGTCACTGAAGGGAGGTTCTGGAATAATATTCAGGAGTGGAGCCAAGGATGGAACAAGTTGAATTTTTATTTTTTACAGTCCTCTAAAGTAGTCTGTGAGATTAAAACATATGTGCATTTATGGACTTCTTAGTCCTGAGAAACCGTATCCGCAAACAATTACAGTGACCCTAGTTTTATGAGAGACCAGTGAAGTCCACGAGGCAGGAGGGATGCCCTGGAGAACTTTACAGAAACCACAAAGGACAGGGATGTAAAGAGTTGTTGGCTGGTGCACAGTAGTGCACAAGCTGCCCTCAGAAACTCGCTAGACAGCTGGCTCCTCAACAGGTTGCTGGAACCTGGCTCTGGACATTTCTCCAGACTCTTGGTTCTTGCAGCCTCTGTGGTAGTCTTTGGGGTGAGACCAGTCATTGGAAAGAAGAAAGGTTGTTGGGGAAACTGGGTGGGTGATTATCTCTATTCTTTATCAGCCATACCCAGGCTCCAGCCTCCTTCAACACCCCACCCCCGACACCTCTAGTGAGGCGTGACCTTAACCCTGTTCCAAGTCAGTTAGAATATACCCAAGAAGGATCAAGACAGGTTGTTTACCTGCTTGATTAAAAGCACTGGCATCTTCTGTGGAAGGTAAAGAAGCAAAATACACAGTGGAGCGCTGAGACACCGGAAGGGGGAGCCTGCGACATCCTAAGGGTCTACTCAAGAGATCAAGGGAGAGTTAAACTCATGTTTCAACACTGCCACCACACTCACCCTAAACTCAGGGGTCAAGCCCTGCCCTTAGCTGTAGGGAGAAACCAGTGCTGTGTTCTTACCGGAGCTGCCCTAGGCCTCACCTCTGGGCTGGGCAAATCCGGAATCACTCAGTCCTGAGAAGGACCTGCGGGAAGGCATGTCGGGAAGGGGGCCTCAGGATGTCTGGGCTGCTGCTTGGGAACCTCACTCCCCGTATTCCCCTCAACCCCGCTGGCAGTGCTGCCTGGGGTCCAGAGAGCATCAGGCGGCACGGCAGGACACCAGCTGCCGAAGGCTCCTGCGGAAGCTGTCATCCAGGAAGGCGTAGAGAAAGGGGTTGAGGCAGCTGTTGGCATAGCTCAGGCTGGTGATGAAGTAAGAGATGCCAATGACCAGTGGCGTTTGCGGCAGGTCGGTGGTGAGCGCCACTATGGTGCTCAGGTGGTAAGGCGTCCAGCAGATGAGGCACACGGCCAGGATCGCCACCACCAACAAGGTCACACGCTTCTTTGCTCGATCCAGGGCCTTGGCGTGGCTGTCTAGCTGGATGGCACGCAGCCGGCACAGCAGGGTGGTGTAGAGGGCGCAGATGGTGGAGACCGGGATGGCGAAGCCCAGCACCAGTGTGTACAGGCGGCTGGCACGCCACCAGAAGGCCTCTGGCTGCGGGAAGACCAGCACGCACTGGCGTCGGCCCTGCTCCTCGTCCAGCTGGGCGAACACGGCGAAGGGCAGCACGACCAGAGTCACCAATGCCCACACCGCCAGACTGACGGCGCGCGCAGCACGGTAAGTGCGCCCCGACACCCGGCGCGACTCGGCCGTGGCCAGCACCACCAGGTAGCGGTCGGCGCTCATCACAGTGAGGAAGTAGAGGCTAGAGAACGTGTTGTACTGGTCGACGGCCACGATGAGCTTGCACATGACCTCCCCGAAGGGCCAGCGCCTCAGCAGGAAGTCGGCGATGTTGATGGGCAGCACGAGGGTAAAGAGCTCGTCGGCGATAGCCAGGTTGAGGACGAACACGTTGGTGACTGTCTTCATGCGCGGTGCGCGCAGCAGCACGTAGAGCACCGCCGAGTTGCCTGCCAGTCCCACCGCGCAGATCACCGCGTAGACCACAGGCACGGCTACCGCCAGCGGCTGCGGCAGCGGCAGAGGCGCGGGGCTCGACCCGTTGGGACAGCCCAGAGCCGAGCCGCCGCAGGACACATTGTCTCCGCCAGGCTCGGACAGCGACAAGTTGTGCATCTTGGCGACAGCGGGAGAGCCGGCGACCACCCGGATTTCACTCAGCAACCCCGCGGGACTCTGGAAGTCCGCGTTGACAGGGATCTGCAAGGGGCACTGCCTGAGTCTTGGAGCCTTTCTCTGCCTGTGCACCGGAGGGGCTTTCCCGCAAGCTACTCAGCCCACTGTCGCCGGGACTCCCTGGCTGGAAGCAGAATTGAAAACACAGGTTAGATTACTCGAGGTGTACCTTTAAGGGGGAAGCGAGGTCCAGAGTTGGGGGTGGCTTCGGAGTCCCAACCTCTCCCTCCACCTGTGGAAATCTGATTCCAGCCGATCAAATACAACAAAGTGCTACGCAGAAGCCTCCGAACTCCTAGGAACATGCAAATCCACCTCATGCCCTTTTTGAGAGCACCCTGACACACCAGGTCACCCTACCGAATTCTACAGAGGCACGCATGCTAGATAACACAACTATTCGCAGCAATCTTTATCTTACCTGGCTGGTCCCAGAAGAGATCTGCGTTTCCTGGGGAGGTCAGGGCTGGAAGCCACCTTCTGCTAGAGGATGCTGCAGCAGTGCTGCCTGACTGCTGCCTGCCCTGCCTCCCGGAGTCTGCCCAGAGGCACTGTCTCCAGAAAGCCTGAAGCACATAGCCACGAGGACTGGTCTCTGCCAACCTGTCACCCCTGCCCACTCCACTCCTAGTAAAATCCTCTGATGTATCAGAAAACAGCAGCCCCCAAAGGTTTCTTTGCTGCCTTCTTGGAGTTTTAACTCAGTTCATTTGGAATCTTGAAAAGCAGTCCTGTCAGGAACTGAACCTAAGAACAACAAATGTTAATATTGTGTTTTTAAAGAACGATTAAAGAAGAGGTTCCCATGCCAGGTTTTATTTGCTTTTCTTTTTTATAGTTTATTATTTAAAAGTGTTAAAATTTAAGTATGTTTTAATCCTATTCTTCCCCTTCCCCAAATCTTCCAGATCCTTTCCCTTTCTCTACTCACCCATCTAAGTTCTTTCTCAAAGCAAAAACCCAATACAACAAACCCCCAAACCCAGGAAAACAAAATAAAACAACACACAAACAGAAAAAATGTAACCAAATGCAAGCACACAAAATAATTCTGGAGCCCACTATATGTTCGCCAGCTACTCCTGAACATGTGGCCTGCCCTGGAGTGATTGATATAACCAATGTCACTCCTTTGGAGAAAACTTATTTTCACTCTTCCAGAAAGTATAAATTCACACTTTAGTGTCTAGGTTTTCATTCACTTTTTAAACATATGTAACAAAATAAAATGTAATAAGGTAAAACAAAACTATCACATTAAAGTTGGACAGGACATGCCAACAGAAGGAAAAGAACCCAAGAGAAGGAACAAGAATCAAAGACCTACTCATCCACGCATTTAGGAATACCATAAAAACACTAAACTGGAGTCCAAAACATATGTGCTGAGGACTCAGTGCAGGCCCTGTGCATGCTGCTTCTGTCTGTGTGAGCTCATGTGAGCTTGCTCATGCTGATAGAAAGGGCCTCGTTTGTTCTCTAGCCCCTCTGGCTCTTGAACTCTTCCATCTCTTCTGGTGGAGGAGACATCAAGTTTAGACCTGAGTGTTCCAAGGTCTCTCTCACTCTCTGTAGAATGTCTACTGTGGTTCTCTATACTTTTTCCCATCTGTTACAGGAGGAAGCTTTTTTGCTGATGGCTAAACGCAGCACTGATCTGTGAGTATAGCAGACATTAGGAGTAATTTAATTCTACATCTTTTCAAGAGAAGCATTTGGTTTTACCTTAGGGCCCGGGGGTATCTAGTCTCTGGCTGTTGGTCAACCAAGCAGTATGGGTTCCATCTCATGAAGTGGGCTTTAACTGCAATCAGTTGTTGGCTGGTTACTCCCACAAGCTTTATGTCACCATTGCCGTCACATATCTTGTAAACATTACAGCATGTAGATCAAAGGGTTTGTGTTTGAATTGGTGTTTACATTTCTCTTTTGTCAGTACATAGAGCACCTTCCTGTGCCAAAGACATTAGAATGTGTAAGTGGAGGCTTTATGTAGGCATCTACTTGACATCTCTATGTTCAGTGAGTTGTGTAGGTGTTGGCTTCAGCAGGGGGGGCCTTGCTGTCAGTTTGTGGAGAGCAGCCTATAGTCTTGGCCACTAAAGCCTGGGTTGTTTGGGGATCCCCATGGGACCCCATTGGCTAAAAACTCAACTGAATGAAATCCAGTCTCAGTACTGGAAGCTTCATTTTATGACAAAAGACGGCCAGTTCGAACTTTGTTTCTCCCCATTACTTAGTGATTTCATTTAGATTGTCCTCATATATGTTTCACATATTTTTTAAGAAACAATCTTATTTTACATTCAATCCCAGTTCCCTTTCCCTCCCATCCTCCCATACCCCCCCACCGAACCCTCCATCCCACCCCCATCCACTCCCCAGGAAGGGTGAGGCCTTCCGTGAGGGGTCATCAAAGTCTGTCACATCATTTCACATACATTTTTTAAAGTTTTTGTTATATTAGGCTTCTCTACAACCTTTCAAGTGCCCCTTAACTTTATCTGCTGTTCACTGTTCTACTTCCCACAGCTCCCTCTCCCCCAGCCTCCACTTGTTCTTCCTGTTCCATCACCCCTGTCTATCCATAATTATCTATTCTATTTCCCCTTCCTAGCAAGATACGTCTGTTCCCTCTCATCTCTCCCTCTAACCTATCCTCTGTGGTTCTGCAGATTGTAGCTTGGTTATCATTGACTTAACAACTAATATTGTAAGTGAATACATACCATCTTTAACTTTCTGGCTTTAAGTTTCCTCACTCAGGATGATTTTTTTTTCTAATTTTGCCCATATATCTGAGATTTTCATGATTTCATAGCTGAGTGGTATTTCATTGTACAAATGCACCACATTTTTATTATCCATCCATCCTTTTGGTATATGCCCAAGAGTGGTGCAGCTACATCTTGAGGTAGAGCAATCCTCATCTTCCTGAGTAACTGACACACTGATTTCCATAGTGGCTGGAAAAAATTTTATTTCCACCACCAGTGGATAGATGACTGTCCCTTCTTCCTACCCCACATTCTCGCCAGCATGAGCTGTCACTTGTTTTGCTGACATTAGTCATTCTGACCTGTGTAAGATACAATCTCAAAGTAGTTTTGATTTGAATTACCCTGATGACTAAGGATATTAAACTCTTGCTTAAGTGCTTCTTGGCCATGTGAGTTTCCTCTATTAAGAATTCTCTGCTTAGCAACAATCTTTTTCTAGAATTCAGCAATGACTTTGTCTTGGAATTGAGGAAGCTAGAAATGTGAAGTCTACATGATCCTTTTATGCCTCATATTATTAAAATTAAGACAAAACATATATAAAGACACATGCCAAGCCCAGTTCTCCCTCCCTCCCTGGCCTTCCACTTCTTCCCACTCCCCACCCCCATCCACTCCTCAGAAGGGGTAAGACCTTCCTTGGGGAGTCAAGGAAGTCTGGCATACCAAGTTGAGGCAGGACCAAGCCCCTCCCCCCTGTACCAAGGCTGAGCAAGGCATTTTACCATAGGGAATGAACTCCAAAAAGTCAGTTTATGCACCTGGGATAAGTCCTGGTCCCATTGCCAGCTGCCCCCCTCAACAGATCAAACCTATTTTAAAATCTTTGAGAAAATTAAGCACTGTTAATTATAGTAAATTAATGCTATTCATTTGGGGTTAGATCCCAACAGATTAAAAAAAAAAGAAAAAGAATTCTCTGTTTAGACCTCTATTCCATTTTTAAAATTGGGGTTTTCTCTTAATATCTAGTTTCTTGATATATATATATACATGTATATGTGTGTGTGTATGTACATATATATATATATGATATGTGAATGGTAAAAAGCTTTTCCTATTCTGTAGTCTGTTACTTTTTCCAAATAACAGTGTCCTTTGCTAAGCAGAAACCTCTCAGTTTCATTAGATTTATTAATTGTTGATCTTAGTGCCTGTGCTATTGCTATTCTGTTCAGAACTTCATTTCCTGTGTCAGTGAGTTCAAGACTACTTCCAACATTCCCTCTTTCTCTTCTATCAGTTTTGGCATATCTGATTTTCTGTTGAAGTCTGTCTGTGATCCACTTGGAGTTGAGCTTTGCGCAGAAATGAAAAGTATCTATCTATTTGCAAGCTTCTACATGCCGTTATCCAGTTTGACCACCATCATTTGTTTTTCCTAGTGTGTGTTTCTGGCTTCTTAATAAAAAGAAACCAGTTGTTCATAGGTGTGTAGATCTAGGTCTGTGTCTTCAACTCAATTCCATTGATCAATGTGCCTATTTTGTCACAATACCATGCTGTTTTTATTACTGTGGCTTTATATTACAATTTTGAGATCAGGGATGGTGGGTGATACCACCAGGAATTCTTTTATTATTCCTGATTGCTTTAGCTTCCCTGAGTTTTCATGTGCTTCCTTATGGATATGAGAATTGCTCACAGAAGATTTGTGAAGAATTATGTTTGCATGTTGATGGAGATTTCATTGTATCCACAGATTGCTTTTGAAATGGTGAACATTTTTACGACCTTAATCATACCGATCTTTCTTATGTTTATGTGTGTATATAAAGGAGGTCCCTTGTATCCCTAATCTCTTGAGGATTTTTGTCAAGAAGGGCTGCTGGATTTTGTCAAAGGTCTTTTCTACATCACACAAAATGATCATCATGTGGCTATGTTTTTCAGTTTGCTTACATGGTGGATTACATTTATGGATTTATGGTGAACCATCCCAGCATCTCTTCAATAAAGCCTACTTGATCATGATGGATGATCTTTTTGGTGGGTTCTTAACACAGTTTGCGATTATTTTATTGAGTAATTTTGCATCAATGTTCATAGGGGAAATTGGTCTGCAACTCCCTTTCTTTGTGTGATTTAGGTATCAGAGTAACTGTGGTCTCATAAAATTAATTGGGCAATCTTCCTTCTGTTTCTATTTTGTGGAATAATTTCTAAAGTGTTGACATTGATTCTTCTTTGAAAGTCTGGTAGAATTCTGTGCTATAACCATCAGACTCTGGGTTTTCTTTGCTTGGAAAACTTCTATATTAGCTTCTATTTCACTCGAGGTTACAGATCTATTTAAATTGCTAATTTGATTTAAATT